ATTTTCGATTTTTGTCCACTAAGGCGGCACTGTGCGTCGTCGGCGCAATGCAGGCATACAAATGTACATAGTCGCTGTGATTAAATTAGAATTCAGCGATTTATTTTTTTCAATTTTTTTAAGCGCTGACATGCATACCAACATATGCCATATGCATGTGCATAAATGTGTATTTTTTATCTTTTGGCCAACAAATACATTCGCAAATTTTTCTGTTGACTGCTATCTATTTTTGTGCTGTTCTATCGTTTGTAAGCAAAAAAAAGAAATAAATTTAAACAAATAAAATCGCATAAAAAACAACTGCAATTAACATTTTTCGTTGTTGTAGCTAAATAATTGACTGCTGTTTTTTCTGTGTGTGGGTTTTTGGTCTGTTTTTTTTCCTTCTTTTTTGTTTTTGTTTTTTTCTTTTTCATGTTTGTTATAGCTAAATTTTTTTGTTGCACACGCCATTGCGATTTTTTCTGGTGCTAATTTGTGAAAAATAGCAGCGAATATTAAGCTAAAAATACAGAGTTAGGTATGTATGTATATAGAATATATAGGTACTCATATGCACATATTCATATATGTATGTATGTACATATGTGCATACATTTTTAAATACAAAATTTTAAATGCTAATTTGCATGCGCTATGATATTTGGTATCTCTACACAATGGCGATATGATCATAAAACAAATGTTTATTTGCCTTTGTGTCATTAAGTGCGCTTTAAGCAGTACAGTCGAGCAAACTCGTTGGCGATAATAAGATACGTTCTTAATAGGGGTTTTAATAGAAGTTGATCTTATAACAGCATATACCTATTAGCATAAAATTTTTTTTATTTTTTTCAGTAAGTACCATAAATGCACATTTTGAACAGCATTCCAATTATTGATGCTGAAGAACTGCCAAATAAAAAAAAAATCATACTTGCATTCGCAGCCCGCTATAATAGAGAAGCTGCTGTTATGGAACTGATGCAGCTGCCTTGAAAAGGCTGCTGTGGTAAAAGGGCCGCCCTTATGAAAAGTCAGCTTTTATGGCTTTTATGCAAGGCCCGTCGTTATAGAAAACCCAAACAATGCCTAATTTAATCTATTGCCCGCTGTTGTAACCGCCTAAGCGATTTTGACCGAGTTCAAGAAAGCACGCCAGTCGTTTCTCTTAGGACCTACAGATGCCTCACTTTGGTGTCTCGTGACGGACCTGGTAGTTATTGTTAAGGGAAAATAAGGCAAAACCGTCTCAGATGTGATGAATGCAATCAAAGTGGCATGCGGCTGGTTTGTCAGTGAGGGTCTCAGCATCAAAAAAAAAAAAAAACTGTACTTCCGCCTTTGAAACGACGGTACTTAAAGCCTCTGACAAAATCAAATACTTCGAAATTTTCTACACGACTATACAAAAAGCAAATTTTTAATGGCATTCCAAAATTTTAACGGTGAAAAGCAGTCAGCATTTCGTTAATTACTAGTATCGATTTAATTCAATTAAGATGGTTTCGTTCTATGAATATTTGGTTTTAGGATGTTTTTTTGGCTCGACCTCTATTGATACAAATTTAAAAGATAAGTGAACCGATTTTTTTAATAGCTGTGTTATTGCTTATTTCAGACTTCAAAGTAAAATAGGGAAACAATTATTTCGAACTATTCTACTACAAAACTATCGTAGTTGAGTGGGACTGTACCTACCGTCTATCGTATAGTAGGTACAGGTACTCTGCAACGTGGCGTTCACTTACTTTTCCCTTGGATTATGGATGAACTAGAAACGAGAAACTGACTTTTTACTTATCGTCAGAGGAAAGTTTATGGACGCCGTATGTAGTTTTATACAGAGGTGCGTGCTTGAATTTAGTCCCAAATTTATCTGCTAGCTGCGGAGTTGCTTTTAATCCTGGTGGTGAGACCAAGCCCATATCGTTCATCACGAGCCTAATGCGCAGATTCCCTCGATCGGCGGCCTTACACCTATGCTGTCTGATACAGTGAAGTATTTGTTAGTGGATCTATACAGGAAGCTCTTCTGTAAGCTAAATACGAGGCATTTAAAATGGCACTGCTGTGAAATCAATTAAGGTGATCAGCGGGGCGCTCCTGATAACTCCTACTCTTAACATTGCGGGTAATGCATTCCGCTCCGCCGTCAAAGTAAGAAGTACCACTTCGGGGACTGCGTAAGATCAGTCAAGCGGCAATCAGTATCTAGGAATTCTTATGGCGCAATTGAAGCTGGTTGGGAAATGTCTGATCTCGCTCTCGGTAACCTCGGATTACATCCAAATTTGGCTGATTTGCATTCCAAGATTCTGTGACATTGTAGAAAACTGTATCCAGATAAATGAGCTAGCGTACCCTTCAGATCACATATCCTTAAAGGGAAGGTATACAAGTTCCTATCGCAATCGATGGATTGCTTCTGGACAGATGAATTTTAGGAGGCTCAGCAAGAAAAGGGTAGAAACCCGTACCTGTAAAGTTGCAAAGACCTTTGGTCGAGAGCGGGCGAGAGTCCTAACCGAGAACTGTCCAGTAGGAACCTAGGCGCTACAACCAAATAACGTTTCGGTACCTTATTGACGTATGAGTCTCTTTAGAGGGTAACGATGTGGAGTAAACTCAGCATTCACTTCTCAGCTATCTTACGAATATTTCAAGCGGAGGTCTATGCCATTAGCCGGTTTACTTTGAAAAGTTAGAATAAATTTCCCCTAAGAGAAACTGAGGATTATCACAAGCATCCTCACGTAGCATTGGAGGCTGAGATGACATCTAAAAGAAGATGAAATAGTCTCCGTTGCTTTGCGACGCCACTACACCCGCTTTTGTGAGGGCGTATCGTGGCAACGAGAGCAGAGCATATGCTAAATGTTGCCAAAGAATGAGCACATAAACTCCCTGCTTTCAAAAGATCTTCTAGACTTTCATTTCTATCTATCTAACGTACGAATATCCAACATTCCAACCTTACTATCCACCCCTCGAGCAGAAATATTACCAGATGTTTTCTATTTACACAGCTCTGTTACTTCTTCACTAGCATTCAAGCCTAATAAGATATTGCTGTTGCACAAAAAAAAAAATATAAAATTGCTGTTGATATGAATTTCTACATACAAGTACTCTAACCGCAAAAATCAATTCGCTGGGAAATGCTTTGTTAAAAAAAGATTGGGTTAAGAAATGGAATGATTAAGTAACAAATAACACGCAAATGAAAAAAACTTAATCCATAATGGGGAGTGCCGCTGCGCAAGCCAAATTGAAAGATTAATTTATGCAAAAATCGGGTACTAAAATTGAGGCACCTGCGCAAGGCAAGAAAATTGAAAATTGATTACAGAGTTGCAATGCGCTGATGTTATAGTTGTTTTCTATTTTTTATGCTGATTTTGTTGTTATTTTTATTTTCCCTTTCTTGGCCCGCATGATACTTAACGCATATTGCAAGTCATATTTTCAGCTGCTAGTTTTAGAACAATAATAAAAATGAAAATGAAAACGGGGCAACATTATTGTAGACGATAACTATCGCGAAAAGCTATAATCGCCACACATCGACAACATTGATAGCAACACCCAAAGACACCGCCGCGGCCGCCGCCGCCCGTGAGGCAACCAACTCCTTGAAGACACTACAAAATGGTAGAGCGAGCGCGCAGACGCAGCGATAGCAGTGCAAGCGAAAAATTACTTTCAGCCCTGTGGCCGATTGTAGCCGAGATAATAAAACTGCGGCATTAAAACAACTAAAACCACAACAGCAGTAATTATAGTTAACGCTACAATGATAGCAACAACAACGACAACCTTGTAATAACCCTACGCGCCAGTTCAGGTGGTGGCAAGGAATTTTCCACTTGATTACGCTAACAGCGCTGCGACTGCATTGACAACAACAATGACTACGCTGCACAATTTCGCAGACGGAAATTGAGATATTTTTTTATAAGTTATGAGCATGCGCGCGCTGCCGCCACCTTAGCGTCGCTAGTACACGTACAAAGCGCATAGGGACGGATGCTGTTTTGCCAATGCTTGTTGCTGTTATTGGCGCACATTTTGTCGCTATTTGTTAGTTGCGTTGTTGCACGTCTTTTGTCGCACGATTTTCTGCACCTTTTTCACTTCTCTTGCTCACTGCGCGCGCGCGTGACGCTTTTGTATACGAATGTATGTATGTATGTATGTACGTATGTATGTATGTGAGTGCTTTCGCGAAATTTGCAATTAAGCTTGATTAGGTTTAATCGGTTTTTGATATTTATGGCTTTTCATTATCATTAAATTCATTGGCTGCAAACTGCGCGGGGCGACCACCACACGCAACAGCCACAACCACAACCACAACCACAGCACAATGGCCATTATCGGCCGGCATCATGGTCTTTTCTAACTGCTTGCCGCTTTGATATCGCTTTGGCTACTGTAGCTGCTACCGCTTTCCGCATATTTATTCCAGCATAATTCTGCAACAACCGAACAACTTTGTCAACGTCCATCGGCGAATAATTGCAATGCGGCAGAGAGTAGGCAAGCAAGCAGTTTAGCAGCAGCTGGGGCAGCAATAGTAATTATTCACTGTTGCCAACAGGGATACACAGCACAATGCGGCGCGCCGGTGGCGACTACTGTAGATGCTACTGCTTGCTACTACCGCTACTGCTGTTGCTGTAACTATTGCGGCTTCTGAAGCTGCTGCTGTTGGTGGCGGTGGTGCCGAAACGCCCCAGGATAATTTGTATGCCAGTTAATTGGTATTGCGGCCATTGATCAGTAGCTTGCAGCTTGGTGTGGCAGGCAGGCAGGCAGGCAGGCATACAGCGGGCAGCTGTTGTCATGAAGGGACAATTTCCGGTGCCGCTCCCATTTGCAAGTTTAACTATTTAACTATTTCTGTGTTTTTTTTTTGTTTAAATTTTTTTTGCTTAAGTAAAATATGTGTTTGCGTAAAAGTAACTACATATGTATGTACATACATAGTTTAGTTGTGTGCGGCCACTTACCTTAGCTGAGCTCTCTAGCGGATTCCAATAGACGGCGATGGCATTGTGGGAGACCTCCTCGATGCAGCCAACTAGACCAACGGAATTTTTCGTGTCTGCAAGTGAGGTTGGAAGAGCGAAAATTAATTAATGTGAAATGAGGTGGATAAAAGAATAAATATGTTTTTAATATATTATATTCTATCTTAGCCAAATTTCGAAAAAATGCGAGCCTTTTAAAATGTTTTTCTTTGCTGTTGGCATTCGGAACTCTTAGTGCGACCTTCGTGGGGAAGTCGAGAGGAAGATCGTCGAGAAGTCCCATACTTTTCGAGATCATTTAGGACGTTTTCGGGACTTTTGGGATCTTTATCAAACTTTTCGGAATTTTTCGGCACAATTAGGAATTTTTGGGAGACCGTTTTAAGATTTTTTTCGAAAATTTCTGGATATGGGGTTTCGGCATTTTTGAAAGGAAATCTTTCGGAACTTTTTGGTATCGGATTTTTTGGGGGGGTTTCGGAATTTTTCCGAATTTTTTCGGATTTTTTTGTGACTTGTCGGAATTTTTTGTACTATTAGGACTTTTTACGAGATCTTTTGAGATTTTTTTTCGAAAATTACGGGGTCCTTTCATAATTTTTTTTTTTTGGGATATTACTTGAATTTTCGGCCGCTATGGTGAAGTGGTAAGCAGTTCGCGCTTCCACTCCACAACGCATGGGTTCAAACCCTGGTCAAAGCAACATCGCAAAAATATAGAAAAAAGGTTTTTTATTAATAGCGGTCGTCCCTCGGCAGGCAATGGCAAACCTCCGAGTGTATTTCTGCCATGAAAATCAGCTTCTCACAAAAATACAATCGCCGTTCGGAGTCGGCGTAAAACTGTAGGTCCCTCCGCTTTGTGTGACAACATCAAGGCGCACGCCACAAATCGGAGGAGATGCTCGGCCAAACACTAACATATGTGTAAGCGCCAATCTATTATTATTATTACTTGAATTTTCGTCTTTTTTAGATATATATTTTTTGGCACTTTTCGATATAATTTAGGGGTTTCGGGATTTTTTAATGGCTCTTCGCTGTATTACTGGGCTTTTTTTTCGTGTTCAGTTGAATTTTTTCGGGACTGTTGGATTCCTTGTTGAACTTTTCGGCGGTACAAATAAACATTTTTTCGGGTTCGTCAAGATCTTTTTCATTAATTTCATCAGCATTTTGTCGTAATTTTTCGGCGTCTTTATTTTTTTTTAGAAATTTTCTACTTTTCGAAATAATTAAAGATTTTTTTTTTGAAAGTTTGTTGGTTTTTCCAAATTTTGCCGGATTATTTTTTTTTTTAATTTTAAAGGTTGTTTTCGAAAATTTCAGGATCAGGGTTTCCGGCAATCCTGAAGGAATTTTTTCGGAACTTTTCGATTTAATTTAAAATCTTTTAGGAATCTTTTCCTAATTTTTGGGTATTTTTTAGAGGCTTTTCGGAATGTTTTTCTATTTTTTTTTTAAAAGATTTTTTTATATTTTTTTTGGTCATATGAATTTCGGAACTTTTCGAGATCATTTAGGACTTTTTTGGATTTTCTCATGGTTTTAGATTTTTTTTCCAAAATTTCCGAATCGTTTCATAAATTTTCACGATATTTCATGATTTTGGGAATTTTTTTCGGAACTTTTCGAATTATTTAATGAGACTTTTTTGGATTTTCCTGTACGACAAGGAATTTTTTCGAGATCATTTGAATTTTTGTCGGGACTTTCTGAATTTCTCGGAATTTTTCGGATGCTATAGATAACTAACTAGCTCATCTATTTTTGAAAGTCTCTAAAAACTAGAGCTGCAAAATTTATGTTAATATGTAATTCTAAATAACTTAAGGTAAAGATTTATAAAAAACTATCCTAAGTTCTTTTGTGACACAATTATGCTCGTTTGAAATAAAACTCATTGTAATCGCTACAGTTGTTTAGGAGTTTTTCAAACATAAACATTTTCCTTCTGGTTTTCAAAAATAGCATTGATGCATGATCGGTACAATTTCTGATACTAAGCCCTGATGGATTAATGAAATCACTTGACTTGCAAAAATATGTATAATTTTTTTAATTCTTACTAAAATTTATTAAAAAAAAGCGACTCTATGAAAATAATGACTGACTTATCGCAATGAGAAATGACAGCTTACCAAAACATAAACATCGTACAATAATGTTTTTTCCAGAGTCTTTAGCAACAGATTTTTCATATAGCAGTATTCAAATTTTAAATGACTATTTAATTTATTTGCTTATTAGCTAAACAATATAAATATACATTTATTGTTTATTTCGCGTTTCACATGCGAATTCCATCGCGTTTAATCAACCCGCTTAAAAGTAGGTATACGATGCGATACTAAAAAAAAAAAAAACAGTTATGAAATTTTGCGTTTACCGTCAAATTATGAGGCAAGCAACTCATTAAATGCCACATGTTTATAAGCAGCATGTGGCATAAATTCCGAGGCTCCACAGCCAAAGGAACATGTGGCTTACAGGTGAGGGTGTTGCGATTGCGCACAGCAGTCAGGGGAATGCACGGCACAAAAGTATCGCTATGTTAGTTTTTCGAATGAAAATTACAACATTTGTCAATTTAAACATTACGCGCTTACATTGCACGACCATCCCCATACATACATTTAAATATGATTGTTTGCAAGTTTGCAACAAACCCAAAATGCTGATAGTGTGCGCATGTGCAGCACCCAATTAGCAGCGTAGATGAACTCTCTGGCAACGCAGCTGGTGGTGGGCATGAAAAATGGCATAAAACTGGCAACAATACTTGATACACAACGCATATGCCTGGTTGTCCACTTGGCGAACGATGTGCAGTCGCAGACCTTCGTTGCTGCCTATGGCACCGTAAATGCGGATATTCTAGCTGCAGCCTACCAGTGGCGTTATACCCCCAGTCCCAACTGGCGCAACGCACACCGAATTTGCCAGCCAGCATTCTATGCTTTGCTATGCGCATAAGCATGTATGTATGTATGTATGTATGTATGTTTGTACGCATGTGCATTTGAGTGCTCGCGCATTCCATTTACGAGCCATACGATCGATTGTACAGCCAAATGGCTTGCATACTCGCGGTATATAGTGGCGCTTATCAGCTGCAACAAATCGTTATTGCATAAATATGTACTAGCAACTTGCAGCTTGCAACATTTCACAATCAATAGTTAGAATTCAATAAAGTTTTGTAATTTACAGCAAATTAAGATTGCAGAAGAGTCACAGAGGTGGAAAGAGAGTTGAAAGGAGTTAGTTGTGTTTGAATTCAAGTCTTTCCCTTCCTCTACTACTACTTCTCTGGTTCTTCTTCTTTTCATTTTTATTTTTCTCTTATTTAGTCAACGCTGATAAGCATCAATGTTGCAAGTTGTTAATTTTTACTTTTAATGTATATGCAATTGCGCATTTGTCCAGACAGCAACAACAACACTAACTTTGAATAGAAGAAACAGTTGTTTTGCCAAATGATAAATGTGCGTTGTTGTGCGTAAAAATATTTATCTTTATTACAAATGTTGCACGAGACTGGCAGCGACTGGAAAGCGGGGTAGTGCTTATAAGAATTCTCAAATTACAAAATTGCAAAAAATATGCATGCACATGTGGTGGATGTAGCAGATACTTAAGTATATATATATATGTGTGTGTGTATGTACTTGTTTAGTAATTTCAATGTTGTAAATTAGTAGACCAAAAAAACTTTTCAAGGTAAGAATCGGTGAATGTATACCATTCGCACTAAAGTCTAGCAGGTAGTCGGTTGAAGAGATGTGACAATCGTCGAAATAACAGCTATTATTTCTACCGCTCAGATGTATTTTTCTTTTTTTCAAAAAAGTTTACAAATAATCTGGCTTGATTTTGATAATTGAGTTTGAAGTCGTCTACCTATACTTTGTATTAATTTGGGTTGCTGAAAAAGTATTTGTAAATTTTCTTGAAGAAATAAATATGCGAGCATTTTTTTCCTGGGAGCAGTAAACTGATTAAAAAATTTTCCGTTCAGTTGCCTTTCCTTTATTTAATATTTATTATTTTTCATTTAATTTTTATTACCTTATATGCAAGTGTAGTGTAGTATCTAACAAAAACCACTCAAATAAAAATTTCAAACTTTGTACAAAAATTACGAAAATTCGACAAAGTTTCATCAAAATTTTGAGCTTTTTAATCAGGTCTTCTCAGAATATTTCTGAGTATGCAGTTTTGTAGCCACGTTTATTTAAATGAAGTGCAAGTTTGAACCTTCAAGGACTCACCGTTGATTTGTAGGATATTTTTGAAAAAGGTGTTGCTTATTTTTCCCATACAAAAAACTTGTGGAACATACTTTGTATGGAAGAAAATGCGTGAACAAAAAATTTCCAAAAATCAATGGCTAGCCCTAGTTGCTTCGAACTTGCACTCTATCGTACTTTATTTAATGCGCTACAAGACTGCATACTCAAAAAATGTTTAAAATCTTGATGAACATTTTTAAAATTGAAAAATAAAACAAACCTGTCTTACCTGCATCTAAAATACGTTGTTTAACCGAATGTTGCCGACTATGCCAGAATTGCCAGGCTTTGATTTCATCATCGGGACTCTTCTCTTCGCGGAATATCAGCATAATAACGCTCTGTGAAAGAAAAAAAATTATGGCGTTCAAACTGGAATATTGGAATACATAAATAAATAGATAAAAACAAAACACTTAAGTAAATATAGCAAAATAATTTTGTTTCAGACTTTAAGTTATTGCATAAGCACCGCCTTCTATGAGCATGTGCTATCAGCTCTTTCAACCGCTTGTCATCATAGCTTCCCAACTAAAGAAGTCTACGCAAGTATCGTGTCCTTGGCTGACTCTTACTTATGCGAGCTGCGTGGGTTATAAGATGAAACTTTGAAGGTTGGCCAGGAAGGCAAGGCCTTGGCGACATCTACCAAGAATTGCAGACCAAGGAACCAGAGGGAATTTATTCGGAATTTTTCGGTATACTCCGAAATCTTTTGAGATCATTTACGATTTTTTTCAAAAATTTAAGGATACTTTCATGAACTTTCGAGGTCTTACATGATCTTTCGGGATGCTATAAAGGAATTTTTTCGGAACTTTCCGAGATAATTTAGGACTTTCGGGATCTTTTCCGAATTTTTCGGGATTCTATTATGGCTTTTCGGAATTTTCCGTGTTAGTACGATTTTTTTCGAGATTATTTAAATTTTTGTGGGGACTTTCGGGGACTTTCGGGAACATTATTGAACTTTTTTCAAAATAATTTAAGACTTTTTTTGGGACTTTCCGGATGTTGTTCGATTTTTTCGGGATTTTTTCACAGTTCTCAGTATTTTCTGTACTATTAGGCATTTTTTAGAGATCATTTGAATTTATGTCGATAATTTAGGGATCCGTTAAGATAATTTCGCAATTTTTCGGTGCCTGCGGAAGTCTAAGTTTCGAGCAAGGAAGGCCTACCGCTTCAAAATAACCTGAATGAGGGCTGTCAAAAAGCCTGTTTTTCCTAATTTTGTCAACTGGTTTCCCTTGCACAAGTGACATTGAAAAAAGTATGATTTCTATGTATTCTCTTTTGTTAGAAAATGATTTCAGAACATTGGAGCGAAATGCTGGGCGACATTTACAAATATGCTGCTGGACTTATTTTTCTTTTCAACAATACTTTGGAGTATTACCAAGTTTTACAAATGTCTTCTTAATCCCAGTATAAGTTACTAATCCTCAAAACCCAATTACCAAATGAATATTTTAGCAACAAATGCATCACAACGAATGCCTCATATGTATGTAGATTTTATACTATTCACAAAGGAAATTCATGTTTATGAAATAAATATTTCCAACAGTTGTTGTTGTGGGTACCTTTTCACAAAAATTCACAGCTTCTAGCGCCCTTTCTCAGCTACCAAATTTTGGCATACGCGCTATGTCGTAACAACAATTCCACGTGGGTTGCTCCATTCAGAGATGCATTATTATTAAAATTTCCAACTCCCATACAAACCCAAGAGTATGTATGTATGTATGTATAAATAAATAAAAAGAAACAAAAAGCTGCTGCTGCTATGTGTGTTGGCATGCTGCTAGCATTTTTGTTATGAAACGTATGGTTCAGCGCCCTTTTCAAAAGTCAAAAAATAATCATCATCATAATTCACACATAGGCGCATAAATAAAAATCTGCGGATGTATGTATACATAGAAACACAAAACCCTTAGTTAAAGCGTGCACACCTTTACTTTGAGACATCACCACTGTGCGCGCTGTGACTTTATCTTCTCGGCATTTTTCTTGGAAAAATTTGCATTTTTATTTTCAGACATTTAGGGCAGCAGCAGGCAGTAGCCGTATTAAGAAAGTGTTGCCTGAATGAAGTGGCATTATATTCATTTTTTTTTTGTTGCTTTCCAAAGAAAAAAAAAAATTCACGCACAATTGCAGTTCTCGCGCGCACGCATCCTTTTGCCGGCCTGAAAAAGGATCTCCAGAAAGCGGCGCATAAATGCATATGTGCGTATGTGTGTGTGTCTGTGCGCCTGTGTATATATATCTTTAACCCGATTCGCTACTGTGCTATCGTAAATTATTTTCTTTTAATTCTGTGATTTTACCCCTTCGTTCCCGCTACGCCGTTTCCTTGCTGTGCAATCTTTGAGTCGCTTACTTTGATTTTTATTTATTTTTTTTTGTCGGCGCATCTTTAAAAATTTGCATTAATTTCTTGTGACGTTCAGTTGGCTGCCTTAGCCGCTGTTGAATAGGGCACATTAGGAAAACAAACATAAATTAATTTTGACACTTTCGCCTCGCGGCTGTGCGGCTGTGCGTCTACGCGCTTATGCGTCTGCCATGCCATGCCCATGCCGTTGGCGTTGTATTGCAATCAAATTTATTGGATTTTTATGTAAATAGTTAATATGCGTATGCAGTAATGCAGCATGCAACACTAAAAATGCATTAGGTTGACATTGGAGCGACGATGAACGAACGACGGCTGCAACTATGCAGTTGGCCAAGGAAGGGGCCAAGCGCGTTTGGCAACTTGTAATGAAAGCGGCTGCAGCTAACTAAGCTAGGCGTAGCAGTAGTGTATGTCTAGTTTTTTGTATCAATATTAATTCGGCTATTGAATTTCTCAATTTTATGCATATTTTTTTTTTATTTTATGTCTTTGCAGTTATTCCACCAGATTTGTATTTTTTTTAATTTTAATTTGATACTTTTGTATTTATTTTTCACGCTCCCAATTATTTTTCATAGCAAGCGACGTTTAAAAATTAATTGCTTGTAATTGCATTGCCAGCGGCCTACTATTTTCCCATGTAAACGTGCAGTTTTAGAGAAAATATGAATTTGTGTTAGAAAATATGAAAAAATAGAGTAAAAAAACACTGCTCAAGTTATTGAATTTATCAAACGGCCTCACAGTGTGTAAAAGATGTCTAAACAATGACTTTAATTTGGCGCTGCACTTTTGGTATCCTTAGGTACTGACTTCGTGTGTGCAGGCAGAACTATTGCCCAGGAGCGCCTAACTAAAATGGATATCGAGAGCTTATATTCAAAACCGCTGATTAAACGAAATTAGCCGAGTTGATCTTAGTCGCCAGTTATTCCTATTTCTCGATAGCTGGTGCCAAGTCCCTTTCCACCTGGTTATTACCAATATAGGGGAGGCGTTTCTCTTCTTCTGTTACCACCCACGAGTACCGCAGGAGTTGTTAAGCTCATACCAGCTCCTCGTTCGTTTTATACAGCACCCAAGGGCACAGATTCATCGGATTTTGTCAACGTCCATGCTTTTGCGCCGTATAAATATACATACATATATGAGGGACTTAGAAAATGCAATTTTCGTTTGTCGAGAGAGGTTTATGTTGTACTAAGTCTATGTTATTAAGGCGGTTTCCCCTGCCAAGGCGCTCAATTAGGCTCGAAAAAAAGGCCGGACAATCTAAGAGGAAGTCTTGAGATGATTCCATCGCATAGAACTCCAAGCAGCTGCCGCAAAGGGGGTTTGGTGTAATATTAAATCTCGTTGGAACAGAACAGTGGTGTGTCCATAAACGCACGAGAATCTATAAATGCGACTTCATGAGCCTAAGATGATCCCTACACTGTACCCGGTCCACCATCGGCCAAGAAAACCTCGCAGTGGCTTATGTCCTGGTTTTTCCCCAGCATTCGCTAAGTTGACCCGATGCCCATCTTTCCAAGAGAAGTCCACAAGTAGTCAAGGGAACTCCCATTTCTTATATTGGCGATATAAACTCGAGGGTGGCGTCTCAGTTCATTATATTCAGACGCGACCGAAAGTGAATTAAGGCAGCATCCCCCGTCTGAAAAATTCTACAATGATTTGGATGTCTAAAGTTAGGCTTGATGGGAGCTCCCTGGAAAAAATTCCTCCACCGAGCCTTCCGTTAAGCTTCGACCCACCCGTGTAAAAGTTCACGTCTGCGCCCTTCCACCCATGGTGTTATAGAGAATGGTACCTGCAGCTCTTACATATTTTTAATATCAAAGTACAGAAGTTAAGTACTCAATACGCCTGATTAAAACAGCCGATGGCAGGAACCTGTGAAGAACACACTTCAATTCCAATCGGCAAGCATTTTTACACGAGTTCGCGTCGGTCTTTAAATCTTCCGCAAAGCGCCAAATTTCGTTTTGAAAATTTTCGGATGCTTTTCTTATCAGCCTCGAGGTCCTCTCACTCACATGTTTCATTTACTCTCTTAACAGAGATGACAGACTGTCTCGTAGGAGAGGCAACCGCTATATCTACAATCGATCCCGAACATGACAATTTTACTAAGGAAGAGCGCAAGAAGAAGAGAACCGCATTCAGGGATCAGCAGACCTGTGTTACGCAGAGATTTTACAGTGACAACATGAAGAGGTTTCTATATATAATCCAATAATCAGTCTCCTAATGGAGAAACTTAAAATAATAGCCGGTATGTTTCCAGGACACTGTAGACTAAGAGGGAACCTGTATAAGCGGGTTATATGGGAAAGTATCTTTGTCTGTTTTGCGCTCGACCAAGGAGATACTGTAATATATTCTCGTTGAGTGTGACGCTATCGGCAGAAGACGTCAGAGTAGTATAGCATCAATGCGACCCTTGAAGGTATTTCTGAGCTGTCTGTGGGATTTTTTGCTTACAAGAAGTGCCGTCAAGGCTAGATGGCGCAATAGGTCTCTAGGTCGCAGTGCATATTAATAAATACCGCCGATGGACACTGCCTTGCCCTCGGGAAAAGCTCTTTTAAGCTTTGTATACATTTCGTATAGACGTATGCAGACTAAAAGCTCTCTTAGCCCATCGCCGATATATACATATCTATATTCGTGGCTCTCCATTTTCAACTCTCGATGACGCGCTCGCATAACTCGCCTTTCGTCCGGTCGCAGCGTCTCCTTATAGGCGGAATATTTTTTCTCTGTACCTTGTCCTACTAATTGTTCTTTTAGGTACGTACGTATGTGCTTGCGCCTACCGAAATATCGTCGCTACCATGTCAAACTATCGAATGAGGAAAAATTCTTTTTCAATTACGATACCTTGCGCATGCGTTTAGAATGACACGCAATTTGACAAATCGTCAAATTTCTAGTCTTATTAGAAGCAGAGGATACTGGCTTTAACTAATTGTCGAAGCTCACACTTTTTCATAATGACAACAACATTTTTACTAGCCGTTATTTTGCTCTCCTGAAAAGTACCCACTTTCGCATTCGATAGTTTGAAACGGCAGCGACGATATACTCGATCTGGTTCCTTTTTCACAATGACATTAAAGCCCCAAGCACGATTTTCATGACAGCGCTCATAAGTAAGGTTTAAAGCTCATGAAGCGATTTTTAGATGCATTCTGTGGTCTCACACGACGCATCTTTGTTTTACGTGGCGGCAACTAAGCCCACCCACGTGTGTATAAAAATCTTCTACCATTAAAATTTATATTCAAAGCATGCGCAACAAAGCCCCACTGTGCAATGCCGACAAATTGGCAGCACAAGTGAAAATTGCAAACGCCTGCGTACTTGTACGAATTTCACGCGAATAGTGCGTACAACAACAAGTAAATATGTCAAAATTGACAACAACAAAACCACATACTATTTAACATCAGCGTTTACAACGCATTAGTTATCTTTTGAAATGGTCCAATTAACCCCTAAAGTGTCGCATTGGCTGGCGGGCAGTTTTCGCTAAGCGAGAAAGTTGCAATAATTTTCATGCGCATACATACATACATATACTATATGTATGAACATAGGTACATATATTATTTCTAAACTAATGCGTGCACGCATGTGTGTGCTACCAATTTCACTAAATTCACAGGCGGCGCACTGTTTTCACAGCTTTGATGAGTGTTGCCGTCGTCGTCGCCGGCGGTGTTGCATAAACAAATTGCGATTCATAGCTGTTGAGTGAGCTGGAATTTGTTGTTATTTTTTTAGTGATTTGAATAAAGTGTTTCTTGTTTTTGTTTATTTTTTTATTTTTGTGTTTTTTTGTCAATCGCGTTATACGGAAATCCGTTGGCGTAGCGCGACTCCAATTACTCGGAAGCTGAGCGCTGCTGCATAAACATAACAATAAAAGCGCAAAAAGAAAATACGTTTGGTAGTGCGTTAACAGCGCGCTGACTAGGAAGTGCTACAGTTGCCGGCAGCTAGCGACAGTTGTCCTTGCGCGCGCACAAACAATCCTTTTACGTCGCCACTTCACACAGGCATTTGCATATCATTCAACTCAAGTATCACATATCAAGGCTGTGACGATGGCGCGTTGTGGAGGAATGGCCTGGCTGGTGACGGCTCATTCGTCATGACGTCTTATCTGATCGATGAATGCTTAAGAGAGAATTTCATGAAGAAAGAAAAAATGAAGCATACGAATGCGAAAGCATTGCTTAAGGGAGACCCTCAAGGCTGCAGAAAGGTCCTAAGTAAACATTTGTTTAGCGCCGAAAGCTAGGTGAAGCAAATTAAAATTCAAAATTCAAAAGCTGCGTCAGATTTCGTGGTGCTGTTGTCTTTGAAAAAATGCGTAGTCTTCACATTTCTTCTTGTTGATTGAAATTCAAATCGAAACGCAAAGACAAATAAAACAAGAATTGAAATAAAAAATGAAATAAGAAATGTACAAATCATCAGCTATCATTCATCATCATCATCATCATCATCCTAAAGGATCAGAGACCAAAAGTATGTACGGCAGTTAACAGTCGGCGCTGCTGTTGCTCTAAGAAACAGCATATCTTTGGCCATGATGGCTTTGAGGGTTGGCCTAGCAAATATTTGCTCGGCAACGATCCTTTTAACTATTGCCCGCTTCAGTCATATCCTTTTGCAATCACTCAACATCTACTTGGATATGCAATCAGGGATAAGCGCATCAAATCGGTTGGCAGTTCTGCTTTGCATATTTGTGTAGATCGTTTGCTTAAGTTAAACTGATAGCTGCTGTCTACAGCAATTAATCATCATTAAAATTGTAACCCTTACACTTTCTTCGCCCAACATTGGCTGGCTTTCTCTCACGCATGCGCCTGCTTCAACTTTGATTTTGTATTTTATTTTCGAAAAAAAAAATGCTTTAAATTTACTTAAGCATCGCCAAATGAGTTTAACTTTCTCATGCTTCTGTTTTTTAAATCTTCTGTAGCATGTTTTTATGTATGTACTTTACTTACCTTGACAGTTGTGTTCTTGATGGGCTTATCGGGATCGTGCACATACTCCAATGTAATGCCATAGAATTGTCCTTTGTTGATGTATGTGATGCGATCGTCTTCGCGTCTTTGTGACGAACTGATCGGACTCTCCAGGTGGTAGCGGAAGCCGACATTGCAGAAGCTGCGGAAAATAAAGGAAAGAAACGAGTTTGTAAATTAAAAAGTAAGCTGATTTGTCGAAAAATGAACAAATAAGCATTTAAAGTGGGCCATATCATGTATCTCAAAAGGTAGAATGCTAGCGCAGCTTTAATTTGCCGATTGTCTGTATAAGTTTCTTATATTTTATAACTTTTAAAGAGCCAAAGCTTTTATTATGATTTTACAAAGAACAAATTCCGCGACAACCAGCTTTTACTCTGTGATAGCCCTTGTATATGGTCCTGTATACCTCTTTCTGGTCGCGAATCTAGATTTCAAAGCTCTCTATACGACTGGCACAAAAAAAGGCTCTCTGTGGGCAGCATTGATATTAACCGCTTATGGCTTCAAAGCTTCCTATAAAGTATATATGTATGTATATATAGACGAGTCAATGGTAAAAGCTCTATCTGCCCATTACTGAAGTATGTAGATATACTGTGGACGAAGCTTTTTGAAACCTTCTACTGATTCGGCGGCCGCAGTGATGTAGTGGTTAGAAGTGCGATTCCGCAAAGCGTGGGATCATGTCCAGTTTCCTCGGAAGGTACTGGCAAATCTCCGAGTGATTTCTGCCATGAGAAACAGCTTCTCATAAAAGTAAAATCGCCTCTCGGAATCGGCGTAAAAGAGCAGGTCACTCCCCTTTGCGTGACAATATCAGGGCGCACACCTCAAATCGGAGGAGAAGTTCGGCCAAACACTAGCATATTGTCTAAGTGCCAATCTCTTATAGATTTTATACGGGCGCACATAAATCGAAATTTCTCGCTGATCGTCACATAAAAGCTCTTCTGGGCGTCACTGATTTAAACATTTAATGATCTCTGCCTGGCTGTCGCTGTAGACCATTAACTACTAAAATGTATTCCGCGGTAGAAGCTTTTGAAAGCTTTTATTTGTTGGATGCTCACAGAGCAGACTTCTCGCTGGTCATCTCTGCTGTAGACCAGTGAAGTTCAGATAGAGCTTTTACTTTATGTGTGCCTATAGCAGTGATGCTTAGAAAGAGCTTCGCCTGCGGCGATGTTTTGAGCATTATTGGTAGTAGAAAGCTTTAAACAGCTTTTTGCTAAATATATTTGAATATATTGACCGAATTAGACAGACACAAGTTAAAAGCTCCTTCTTCCCATCACAGCTTTAAGTTTTCAATGATAGCTCAAAACACATTTTTGGTTTTATTTTAATTTTTTAACACAAACATATGTCCAAAGTTTTCGTAAAGCTTTCTAAAAGCTCTTGCATAGATATCGAAACTTAAATGTTGAGGAAAACCAACTAGCCCTAAAGCTTTTAGTAAACTACTTTCCAGGAATAAAGTTTATTCGCCTAATATTTTGGCTGACGTAGGCATTCATTGCAAATCACATTTTGGAAAACAGTCTTTCATTTAATGAAAGCTCTATTCTTCCACTTTTTTCAGTAGCAAAAAAACTTCCAAATATGGAAGCTTAATCAGTTTCCAAACTACGGAAGCTCAAAATAAAGCTACAGACAAAGTTTTTCAAAGCTTTCTGGCGCCAAAAATGTTGCCCGAACATCTTAACGCTTTACATAGATTTTATATAGGCGCTCTCGAGCAAAAAGCTCTCTCTGGCCAACATTCATAGAGATCCATGGAAGCTAAAGGCATTTCCTGATCTTACATATGTACATATTTTTATTAAAAGATTTTTATCTTTTAGTCCCTCCTAAATTCAATAAGTACACAAGTCTACTAAATACTAATTAGTAAATCTTCATACTCACATTTTTGGTATTTGTATTTTGTCCGCATCATTTTGACGTCCAAAATCATGCCACGGCCTCGAACGTGTGGCACCATTCGGCGTAGAGCCGCCCAGCGATGTGGTCGGACTAATTTGACCGTGAACACTAACAGCGCCACGTTGTATGCTATTCACCGACACTGGTATACCGCCATTGCTGTCCAACAGTGTGCCAGAAAGCTCTGTGTAGTCGAAAGACTGCATACAGTTAGGATACGAGCGGATAATGGATATGAAAAGAAATAAAAGAAAACAACACAAAAATTTGTTATAAATATGATTTATGCGTCAGAAAAGTTTAAAAGCTTGTGCAAATTTTAAGAAAGTAAAAGGCAATTCACAAAACAAGTGAGTTGATAATAAAATTTTATCAAATAAAAATGATCAACGACGCAACAAAATTGACGTGAAACAAAAAAAGAACAACAATGGACATACATATCACACAAAATTTACGAACGAGGATAACTAGAACGTAAAAATTCGCTCATAAATCACAATCACAATTCAACACACAAACAAAGCACTCAACAATAAGACTAAGACTAAGACGAAAGCGAAATACAAAATTACAACAAATTATATATGTGCACATGCAACGATTAGAACAATCACAACAACGAGAACAACGCAAGTAGAATCAACAATAATTACAAAACTCATAAATCTCAGAGAAATGTGACAAACAGCAAACAAATGCAATACATACAGCTACAGAACCACAACAACAACAAAGATTCATAAACAACTACGCCGCTTACTCAACAATAATGACACCAATAAAAACAAAAGCAAACACATTTACTCAACACACGCGATCAAAGCTCAAAAGTCCTTTATCAATCGCCGATGGGTCACAATGGGGGGCAGTGTGGAAGGTAGAGGGGGTATGATAAAGAGAGGGAGAGAGCAAGAGAAAAAAAAAAACTTATTGGAAAATCGAAAGTTTGTCAAAAGCTCACAATTGTGCGCAAGCTACGCGAATGAAAGCTTCTGCGCGAGAAAGCTTTCACAATACAAATTTCAATCAACTGTTTCAAAAGAAGCGAGAATAATCAATTTATTTTTGTTTTTTAATTTACTGTAAGCAAACCATTTCACTTACCTGATGTATATTATTCTGATCGCGTGGTGTAATTGCATCAGCGCCAATACCCGAATCTGGGCTTGGCAAATCCACCGTCAAGCCAGCAGCTGTGATGGCCTTCGCATACACCGGTGTGCCATTCTTGATGTTCCCCGCCGTATTGGCTGTGGTATGTGATGGCATACTGGTCACTGGTGCAGCAGCCGTGGTGAAGCGTCCCTCATAGGTGGTGCCCGGTTGTGGTGGCTCAACATCAGCGCCACCATACACAATATTGCGTGGCGCCTGTCCATAGCCAGTCTGTGTGTCTGCTGTGGTTGCAGTCGTATAGAATTCGCGGTAATAAGGCTCTGAGATGAATGTGGAAGTGGGACCGCCCGAAGTGAGGCGTGTCGTTGTGTACATGCCATAGCCGTCGGGTGTGATGTAAGGGCCGGGACTGGGTGTCTGTGCATTGACATGCACATTGTTAGAGCCACCGCCGCCGCCGCCGACAACAGAGCCAGGTGCATTGGACTGGTGAGCGCCCTGCATGCAAGAGGTGTGGAGTTGGTGGTGAGCAGGGGTGCGAGTAGAGTTGAAGTACGCGTTGGTAGAGAGCACAAAAGATAAGAACAAAAGTTGAGTTGCATTAAGTTTTTGGAGTTATGGTTGTAAGCTAATAAAAAGAATATGAAAAAGTGATGGTTTCTGTGCGTACGTAGGTCCGTACGTACGTAAATTTGTGTGAATTGTTTTTTTTTTTTTCTTTTAGTTGCGTCTACGAGTTTTTGTTTTTTATCCATTTAACACTTTGCACACTTTACTTTGGCGTTCGTAGGTGTGGCGGCGCATGCGTCTTGCTTTCAAGCAGAACAAAAGCAATCGAATTCCGGTTCCTTGCTGACGCGCTAATTATCACACGTTGACAAAAACACCTAATCCGCAGAGTCGATCGACCGATTAGTGGTGTAGTATGTCTGTCCATTAGGCCAAATCAGCAGTCATTTTTAAAACTTTTGCTGTTTCTTTGCGTTCACCGTCGAAAAAGGCCGGCAGCAGCGAAACTGGCCCTGCCGCCACAGTTTTTTTTGTTTCTTGGTGCTATAACTAATTTTTTGCTCGTCGTTGTGGTGTGGGTTATGCATTCTTTAGCGCCGCTGATTTGCAGCTGGTTATTAATTAAAGTTGGTTATTAGTTTTTGTTCTTTGGCAAAAGTTGCTCCAACCACATTTGTTGAAAAGTGAAATTATATGCTAATGATGTGGTGATTTGTCAAATGACGGAAGGTCAGCCGAAACGTACTAGTTGGCGATGCTATTGGAATGCCGGCGGCTGAAGAATGGTCGCGCGTGCGCATTCTGTTTTTTATTTATTTTTTTCTCTAAATTTCAGTGAACGTCTGGGTTTTTTTTATGAGCAGCGTTGCTTTCTGCACGGTGGCATACAGTGAAGAGAGTTTTAGAAATTTTCGGATCAACCAAAATATGTTTATTTATTGCTGTAATTTTTTTTGTATTTCTTTGGGGTGACTTTTTTTTTGAAGAATACGACCATTTTATATATTTTATTGCATTAGGAAGTATAAAATCAGTTCTTATAAATATATTTTTTCGTCATTCGGTTCTGTGTACTAAGTCTGCTATTTGAAAAAAAAATAAATTTGCTCTCCATTCTTCGCATTCACACTCACCTGCAAGTAAATTTGTGTGCCGCCACTGGCAGCGTACATTGTATCTGTTGTTGGACTTCCAGGACTTATAGGCGGCTCTTTAATTTGTATGGTTGTGTGCGTTGGTGATGTTGGTGACTGCACAACTAAAACCTGCGAAATTGAATTTGCTTGTTTGAGTGCATTCACTGAAGAAGAAGGAAGAAATGAGTTGTTGCTTAAGGGGACTGGAGGGAGGTAGAGGTGAAATAAAAGCGGGCATGTATGGAGAGAAAATGAGGCAGGATGAAAAACTAAAAACTATAAAGTGAAAATTAAAAAACAAAAAATTTATAGTTTCGAATTTGAGCGCAGAAGAATACGGAGTGAAAATTTTCGGCGTTGTCGATATACACACACACAGACGAACGCGGACAACAACATGAAAATACTAAGTATAATTAAAAAATATACCTTGTGCAAAATTGGGGCATGCAAACGCTAATACAGTGGAAGGGATTAAAAAAAGGTATGAAAAATTAAATTTATAATTTCAAAAAAAAAAAAGAAAGAAAGAAAATCCAAGAAATTTTTACTTTTTTGGAAAAGTGCAAACAAAATTGTAAAAATCTTTCTATAAATGAGAAATATGGATTCGAAAAAGTTAAATTAACCCTTTTTTGATTTTGAACTCTATTTTGACAAAAAATTCAAATTTACGAAAAGTTTACAGCGGTGTAGAGATTTACTAAGGGTTTTGTATGTTTTACAATTAATGTGAAAGCATATAACCTCCACTTGAAATGTTCTTTTTTATAGCAATCACCACTTAAGCTTTCTGTAAATTTTTTATCAGCCACAACCAAAGTAAATCTAGCAGGAGAAGCTTTTTGAAGCTTTTTACGGATTTTAACGGAACACTCACCTCTCTCGGATCGCCACTTCTTTCATAGGGTTGCCATCAAAGAAAATGCTTTCGCAGTTCGTAACTGTTTTAAAGCAGTCACGACCAAAACATATACTGCGAAAGAAGTATTTTAGTAAAAACTCGCTTAGATTGTGTCATATATGTACTTCACTGGAAACATGTTTTATTGAATTCCTTAGGCTTTCGAGCTGGGTCTTTAGCACACGAAAGCTTTCGCCATTGGACGCAAAACATTTAGTTGTATAATGAGAAATACATTCGATTAAAATCTAAGGTTCCTAGCACAAATTGTGATTCCAAATGCTTAAGCTTTTTATAATTCTTTAGATGTTGTAGTTGTTTATAGCTGGAAAAGCACCCTTAGGGGTTCGCCGGCTTTAAAGTTTGAAAATTTGTCTAAGAAAACCGAATATTTACTACTTTATTAGAAAAGTTGCAATATATTCCTTTTGAATATTTCTGAAGATTTTTCAGTTTTTAAGAGCTTAAAAAGCTCTCTTAGGTAGTCGAGGGCAATAAAGTTTGAACAATTTTCGGAGAAAATCAAAAACATATTTTATTGGGAGAAAGATGTTCCTTGCATTCAAAAAGTTTTCGGAAAGGTAAAAGCTGAAGGCTGATAAAAGCTTTCGCCATAGCGTTGAAAACTTTTGAGCTGATCATGAAAAGTTTATATCATTCAAATTAATAGCTTTTTATTCCAATTTGTGTTTTTACTCAAACCTATCTAGGCTATAAATTTCGCTGTTGTTTTAAGCTTACTATTAGAGAGCCTTTGGAAGGAATTGAATTTTTATAACTCGAGAAGAAATTAAATTAATTTTAGTTTTTGATATCTTAATCTAAAAACTTCTTGAAAGTCCAAAATATAGGGCGAAAGGTTACGAGATATCCCGAAACGTCATTGAAAATCTTAAAATTTCCCTTAAGCTTTGGAAATAATTCCAAAATATCCTTAAAATATACCAAAAAGACCAGAAATTGCCATATATTCATAAAAAAATCCCTGAAAAGCTCATAAAATTTTCGGGAAAATCGTCGATTTCGAAATATTCCGAAAAATACCGAAATATTCCCGAAATATTTTATTATTTTGAAAACTAAAGTGGGTCCAGATGAAGGTCGGCTTTGAACAAAATACTTTATTGGAAAATTTTATTAGACTTTAGTCAATCAAAATTTTCTTCTTAAAATTTCATTATTTTTTTTTTAAATGTTTGTATAGCTAGCCCACCTTTTCCCCATTTTCATATAAGCCTTGAAAAAGTACATTTGAATATGTGAACAAAAAAGATACTAGTTAGCGCATACCCAAACGATTTCGCAAACACATGTAATGCAGCTTGTTTGACAAATTGCATGCCATTTGTGTTTGACTCTTGGCTGCGCATGCGCAACAAATGATTGTACGCTGCCGCCAGCTGCCAGCTGATTGCGATTAGATATATGTATGTTTATAACTACATAGCTACATATTGCTTAATTGTATAAAACACATTTGATGGATATTAATTGATAAGGTGGCAAAGGCGCTTAATCAGTATTGCAATACAAGGAAGATGAAGAGGAAGAAAAAAACACATAACAATTATTACATCGACAAAAGCGACAGTGAATGCAAAAATCAAATAAAGACAAAGATGAGTATGCTGTATTTGTAATTAAAATGTGATTGGGGTGATTTATAAATAAGAAAGAAAGAAGGAAAAAACCCAAAAGTCCAATAATCGTAATTATATATATGTATTTCTAAACTCAAATTTGAGCGATAATAGTTGGGCTGCTTCACTTCCAAGTTGAGAAGAAAAAATAAGTTAATCGTGCTTCTCTTTAACTTTAAAAATTTATTTAAATCTGTAAAATTATTAATATCTGCCTATAGTTACATAATAACATATTTATAAGTGTACCTATTTTTATTTCGAATACTACTTTGCATATTTTCGCTTGCGTGCGTAACGAAGCCTATCCAATCAAAATGTCTCCAATCATATAATCATAAACTTTTTTCTGCTTACTGCTGTTGCCATATACATACATAGTTACACACTAGTTCGATACGTAAGCAAGGCAATAAAAAAGTTTAAGCTTAAAAAAATCTTAATTTTTGTATATTAATTTCCCTTGATTGATGATCATGGATGTATGTATGTATGTATGTACAGTGGTCCACAAAATAATAGGAGTGCGTTATTTTGGTCAGTTTTTGCTATTTGTCTTTTGTTTATTTAATGTTTATTATTTTTATACAAAAGTCAAGCTGGGTATACAACAAACAACGAATAAATTCAGATTTCAACCTTTGTACAAAAATTATTAAAATTCTGTAAATTTTCACCAAAATATCAAACTTTTTAATCAGAATCTTCAGAGAAAATTCTGGTATGCAGTTTTATAGCCCATTCAATTCTAGTCTGAAGAAGTGCAAGTTTCAAGCTGCTAAAAAATTCCGTTGATTTTTGGCAATTTTTTTTGCTGGCACTGTCCCCATATAAAAGAAAATTGTCGAACATACTTTGTATGGAAAAAACGTGAAACACCTTCAACCGAAAAAATTCCCAAAAATCAACGGAATTTTTTAGCAGCTTGAAACTTGCACTTCTTCAGACTAGAATTGAATGGGCTACAAAACTGCATACCAACATATTTTCTAAAGATTCTGGTTAAATAGTTTGAAATTTTGGTGAAAATTTGCAGAATTTTTATAATTTTTATACAAACTTGAAAATGTAAATTTATATGGTGTTTGTTGTATTACCAGCTAGGCTTTTACAAAAAAATACGAAACATTAAATAAACTAAAGACAAATAGCCAAAACAGGTTAAAATATCCCACTCCTATTATTTTGTGGACAACTGTATGTGTTTGTATGCCATTATCGCCGTTGAAGTGGCGCTGCTGACATAGCTGTGATTTGCCTAGCCGCGCCGCAGAGTGCTTGCCAATAACAAGTAGAAAACAAGGTGTTGTTGTTGCCACTGTTGTTTGTTGTTCGTTGGTTGTTGTTGATTACAATTTACATGGAGCTGCTGCGTCGCTATCGCTTTTGACCGCTGATTGCGTGCCGGGTTGAGAACGCCACAACAATGCGGAAGGCCGGCAGTTACTACTGGCAGTGCCAATTGATAGGCAAGTAGCAAAATCAGCGACAGAGGCTGACGCAGGCGCAGCATCAGCAACAGGCGCTGCTTGGTCAACTGAGTCAAGTTGCTTGCTGTGGCTTGCTACGTCTACAATTACGCAGTGGCAATGATTAATTGTGTTACCTATAGCATTATTTGATTGTTATGAAAATCCATAGCAAGCCCTCTAACCTGCGCGCTGCTGTTGGCAACTTAGCCAACAGCTACAGTCGATTGTCGTCGTTCTTCGTACCCCTTGCCTATGGGGGGCTGGCAGCACTGCAGCTGTAGTAGAGGGCTTAAAAGCTACCTATTTCTTAGTGCCAATAAATGGTTATTTGTTGTTGTATTTATACCAGAGTACGTAAGCAACTATGTATATGTGTATGTATGCATGTAGAGTATTCAAAGATTTTTGATTTTTTTGTTTCTTTGCGCTCAGTAGCCAAATCGCGTTTAATGAAACGCACGCAAGTTAAATGATAAATATTGTCAATTAGGGCTATGATTGATTAGCCAAAATTGTGACAGCGGCAATAGCAATAGAAATCAGATGTGGTATTTAGTAAACTAAAATGTGTGTACAAAAAAATTTAGCGAAATTAACTGAAATAAGCTAATAATTAATTAGTCGGTGGGACAAGACTAGTAAAGAATTGCTCTCCACTCTGGCATGTAAATTTTTTATTTCATACTTTAAAACAAAGCAATCTAACAGGTAGCTAAACAAACGTTAATAGAAATAATTCCATATTAGCAAATAAAGTCTATAATTCGCTGGGTTAATACTTGCACATTTTTTTTTGTATTTAATTGGCAATTTAGTTAAAATAAAGATTACTAATTAAATGATAAATGATCAGAGTAGGCAGGAAATCAATTACACCTAAACATTTCAAAACACACATTAAGCACCGTTTATGCAAACATGCATATGTATGTATGTATGTATATTAGGATGCCTCACGAAGAAAATGTTTTGCTTCCCAAGGTGAATCTTGAACTTCGTTGCCAATCAAAACCTAATGAATGAGCAACAGCATTTGGCGACTGATGTAACATTAATTTTTTAATTTTTGGGCTCTGAATTGCCAAATTTTGTTTAGAATTTTCAATGAAATTT